CGAAGTTTGGCCATTTTCACTTCTAAGGAGCATTCTGGATGTACTTCCAGGACAGATTGGTTCATTCTTGTGGCAGTCCATGGTATTTTCAGTATTCTTCACCAACACCGCAATTTAAAGGCATCAACTCATCTTTATCTTCCATATTCATTGTCCAGCTTTCATATGAATATGAAGTGATTGAAAATACCATGCCTCAGATCAGGAACACCTTACTCTCCAAAGTGACATCTTTGCTTCTTAATACTTTATTTATTTATGTATACTCGTGGTTATGGTTTATTAAAGGATACAGATTAAAATCAGCCAAGGGAAGAAATTCATGGGGCACAGACCAGGACATTTCCAAATGCAGAGCTTCCAGTTGTCTTCTCCAAGAGGAGTCATAGAAAGTGTTAACTTTCCTAAAAATAATGTTTGACAGTACAGAGTATTGCCAACCAGGGAAGCTCACCCAAGCCTTGACATCCAGTTTTTATTTGGGCTCAATCATATAGATCTCTCTGGCTGCCTAATTGGCTGACCTCAATCTCTAGCCTCTCTGGAAGTCAGAGCTGATTCTGCATTACCTAAAGCCCACACCCTGAGTCACACTGCTGTACTATCCAGTGTTGCCCAAGATCCCTACATAAACAAAGACATTCCTAACAGGTATGGCATTTCAAGGGTTTAGAGATCACTTTCCAAGATACGATGGCAAAGGCTACTATTCTCTTTAAGGTTAATTCTTTACCACATGCTGAGACAACTTTTGTTGTTTGTTTTGCCCTCGTTTTCCCTTCTCCTTCTCATTTTTGTCTTTTCCTCCTTCTTTTCTCAAACTCTTTTAAGGTATAAAAAAATATATGCCCGAAAGGAATTCTCATCCAGTGTTGACTAAGGCTACAAACAGTGGCAGAACAGGTTTAGAGATACATCTTCATCTTCAATTTGACAAACTCTACAGGCATACATGACAAATTCCATTCATGCCAGGTCCCTGGAAAATGTTATTTGCAAGGACAATTTCCTTCTCAACTTGGAAAAATACAACAAATACAAGTCACTTCAGAAGCCAAAGGCTGAAAGTGTGATTTCCATGGCTTACTCTGGGGCCATGCATTCTCATATGATGAGGTTTCTAAAAAATATTAAATTACTTCTAAAGAAAGTGACCTAGTGATCTAGGTGAGGATGCCTCAAAGCCTTAGAACCTAACCTAACCCACTGATACTCAGTCAATTCCAACTCAGTGATCCTACAGTACACAGTAGAACTGTACCTCCTCTTAACACTTTAAAGAGATCTTTTGCAGATTTTCCCAGTACAATGTGATTTGACTGCTGACTGCTGCTTTCATAGCTATTGACTGCAGATCCAAGTAAAATGAAATCTTTGACAACTTCAGTCTTTTCTCCATATATTGTGATGTTGTTTATTGGTACAGTTGTGAAGATTTTTGTTTTCTTTATGTTGAGGTGTAATCCATAATGCAGACTTTGATCTTCATCAGTAAGTGCTTCAAGTCATCTTCACTTTCAACAAGCAAGATTGTGTCATCTGTATATCACTGTTGTCAGTGGTTCTTCCAATTCTGATGCTGCATTCTTCTTCGTATAGTCCACCTTCTTGGATTATTTGTTCGGCATACAGATTGCATAAATGTGGTGAAAGATATAACCCTCACACACACTCCTCCCAATTTTAAACTATGCAGTATCCCCTTGTTCCGTTCAAAAGATTGCCTCTTGGTCTTTTGTATAGGTTCCTCATGAGCACCATTGAGTGTTCTGGAATTCCCATTCTTCCCAATGTTATCCATGATTTGTTATAAACCACAAAGTTGAATATCTTTTTAAAGTCAATAAAACATAGGTAAACATTTTTCTGGTGTTCTTTGCTTTCAGCCATGATCTATCTAACATCAGCGATGATACCCTTAATTCCACGTCATCTTCTGAATCCAGCTTGCATTTCTGGAAATCCTCTGTCATTAAACTGCTACAACTGTTTTTGATTTACCTTTAGCAAGATTTTACTTGCATGTGATATTAATGATATTGTTTGATAATTTCCACATTCTGTTGGGTCACCTTTCTGTGGAATGGGCACAAATACTGATCTCTTCCAGTCAGTTGGCCAGGCAGCTGTCTTCCAAATTTCTTGGCACAGACAAGTAAGTGCCTCCAGTGCTGCATTTTTATGTTGAAACATCTCAGTGAGTATTCTGTCAATTCCTGGAGCTTTGTTTTTTGCCAACTCCTTCAGTGCAGTGTTGACTTCTTCCTTCAATATCCTTGGTTCTTGATCATATGCTACCTCCTAAAATAGTTGGGTATCGACCAATTCTTTTTGATATAGTGACTCTGTGTATTCCTTCCATGTTCTTTTGATGCTTCCTGCATCATTCAATATTTTGCCCATAGAATCCTTCAGTATTGTAACTTGAGGCTTGCATTTTTTATTCAGTTCTTTCAGCTTGAGAAATGCCAAGAATGTTCTATTTTGGTTTTCTAACTCCAGGTCTTTGCACATTTCATTATAATATTTTACTTGGTCGTCTCAAGCTGCCCTTGTTATCTTCATTTCTTTTTTTTTCACCATTTCTTCCATTTGCTTTAGCTGCTCTCCATTCAAGAGCAAATTTCAAAGTCTCTTCTGGCATCCATTTTGGGCTTTTATTCCTTTCCTGTCTTTTTAATGACTGTTTGCTTTCTTCATATATGATACTCTTGATCTCATCCCACAGTTCATCTGGTCTTTGATCATTGGTGTTCAACGCATAAAATTTGTTTTCCAGATGGTCTCTAAACTCAGGTAGGATATAATCAAGGTCATATTTTGCCTTTTGCAGACTTATGTCCCTTTGGAAGTAGATTGCCCAGTCTTCCTTCCAAGGAGTGGCTGGTGGGCTTGAACCACCAGCCTTCTTCTGGTTAGCTGTCAAATGCCTTAGGCACTATGCTACCAGTTGTTTTTTGTTTTTGATAAACTGTATTAATGGAATAAAACTAAATAGAAATAATTGCAATTCCCGGTAATGTTCCTAATGTATTTCAAGTTTTTGTTTGTTTGCTCTTTTAAGGCCCTCCCTCCTTTGAAATGAAATAACTAATCAGTTTGATTAGTTAAAGTATATGGGGTGGGTGTGGTAGGTTGACTTGTGGAGAGATGAGTATTCCAGTCTCTACTACTGTCTGTGGTAAGTTAGTTCATTTCAGGATTGTAGGCATGATAAGGATCAGCATTTAGGCCTCAGTGTTTATATACTCACAATCTACGGATCACAAATCATGTGTTATGGATGTATCTTATCTGATGTGATACTTTTAATATATTCAGACTCTGAAGATTTTTTAAAATCATTAGTGACTATACAGAGATTATATTCCCATAATTGTAGAAATGCTACCTTTTGATTATTAAATGTAGATTTGGAATACACTTACAAATATTTTTATAGTTCCTTAATACCAGTACCAACAAATGATAGAGAGTGGGTTTTGCAAAAGCAGTTTTGAAATTTTCTCAAGTATAGTAAGTTTACAGTTTTCTTTTTACTCTTAAGACCTTAATATTGTTCTGGAACTAGTGAATTCTTACCACATTACTTATTTTGGATTTATTTATGTCCTATATGTTTTCCTATGGAACCCTACTGGCACAGCGATTAAGCATTTGGCTGCTAACCAAAAGATCATTGGTTTGAACCCACCAGCCACTTTGTGGAGAAGGACGTGGCTGTCTGCTTCCATAAAGATTACAGCCTTGTGAACCCTATCAGGCTATTCTGCTCAATTGTATTTGGTCACTATGAATCAGAATTGACACAAGGAGTTTTGCTTCTTTATTTTTTAAATTGTGATTTGGGTGAAAATTTACAGAGCAAATTCACTTTCCATACAGTAGTTCACATCCACTTTGTCTCATGACATTGACCACAATTCAGCACAATGCAACACCTCCCCTCCCATTTCCTCCTGACAGTCACCTCTTCCCTGTGTCCATCCCTCCCTGCACCCCTGCCCCCGAGCTGTCTCCTTGTGCATAAACAGCCCTTCTTTCTCCCATAATTGTTCTCTCCAAGGAGTGTATCTACCTCAGGTAAATGTTCAACTCCTATGCCTGTCTTTTGCTTGGCTGGAAGCCACAGGTGTGGGTTCAATTCTAGACCTGAAGGGCAGCTAGGGACCATAGTCTCAGTGGTTCCACTGGGCTCTATCAGACCAGCAAACCTGGTCCCCCCTTTTTTTCTCCCAAATGCTTTTGAGTTTTGTTCCACATTGTTCTCCCTCTCTATCCAGGGTCTGCTACATAGATCCCCCTCCAAGTGGTTGACATTGGTAGCCAGGCACCATCAAGTTCTTCTGGTCTCATAGTCTATAGGCTGTGGATCGCATGGTGTACCAGTTGCTAGGGCTAATTCTTTCTATGAATCTTTCGTTTTCTTCGTTCTTCTTTGCTCTGGATGAGGGGAGACCCATCGTTGCATCTAGATGGCTGCTTGCAAGCTTTTAAGATCCCAGTCGCTACTCGCCAAAGTAAGAGGTGGAACAATGTTTTATGTAGCATGTTATGCCAATTGAACTTGATGTCCCCTGTGACTATGGTCCCAAGACCACAAGTTCAACTACTCAGTCCCTCTGGGTAGCTGGCTGTGACCAAGAAGTGACTACAACCTTGTCCCATTTCAGCTCTACTATACACCTGGGAATTCAGATCATACAAATACACTTATAGGACCATTGTCTATCAACCCTATACATGGTCTTGCATACACTCCCCACTTCACAGACATTCCTTAGTTCAGCCTGTCCACCCATCTATCCACCCATGTACCCATGTTTGCCTTCACTGGCAACATAGTACTGTATGTGCAAAAGGATTCATCTGCTTTTTAAAAAAATTTTTAAATATGTTTTTCTATTTAATTGACATATTATGGTAAGATTGGATTTGAGTACTAGTAAATCTCCTGGCTTACAATAATTTTCATATTTTGTGTTATGTTCTAAGTATAGATATCCAACGGGAAGAAGAAAAAGTGAAACGATCTGTGAAAGATGCTGCCAAGAAGGGCCAGAAGGATGTTTGTGTAATTCTGGCCAAGGAAATGATCAGGTCAAGAAAGGCTGTGAGCAAGCTCTATGCATCCAAAGCCCACATGAACTCTGTGCTCATGGGGATGAAGAACCAGCTTGGTAAGATGACAGTTACCATACAGCCACCTTGGTGTTTTTGCTGTTACTACCAGCTCTGGTTTCTTTGAGGAGGACAGGCTCAACTCCAGTTTTTATTCTTTATGTTGTCTTAATTGGGCTGTTATATATAAATGCAAAACATTATACCATTACTATTATATGTTAATTCATTTTTTTTTTTTTTGGCCAGTGTTTTTGAAGTAATGGCAAAAATGACATTTAAATCTGCTTTGTTTAGGATTTAGAACATACCCGCATGTGAGCAATATGTTAGTGAGCTGAGTATTGCATCTTAGGAGTAAGAAGCTGGCCTGTGTTTTGATGAAAAGTTCTCCCTCTCTGTTGTAGGCCCAGAGCAGCCCTAGGCAAAATTTTAAAATAGTTTTAAGTTTGGCTTAGTTCCGCCTGCCTCCTTTTCTGTCTCATCTCTCTCTCATAATACTTGCTCACATTTTAGGAATCTGCGGGCTATGTATTGGGTGTTCAGCATACATGTGAAGTACCACATGTACTTTTGAAAAACTCATCCTAATGTTTAAAAGGGAGCTCTGGTAGCATAGTGCCTAAGGCACTTGACTGCTAACCAGGAGGCTGGTGGTTCAAACCCACCAGCCACTCCTTGGAAGGAAGGTTGGGCAATCTACTTCCGTAGTGATACTGCCTCGGAAACCCAAGGAGGGGTCGCTATGAGTTGGGTCCGACTGCATGGCAAACAACAACAACAATAACAACAATGTTTAAAATAAAACAAAACACAACTAAGTTCCTTTCAAGTGTCCAATATAATACTGTTTGTAATCTTTTATGGTATGTATGACCAGGGCAGTGACAACTTGAGCCATAGGACATATTTTACATCTAATTGGTTTCTTTCCTTACTTCTATCATATTAGAAAATCCTAACTCAGTTATAGTTCTATGAGAATGGCAGCAAGTGACTGTGAGATATTTAGGTTGAATATTGACTCAGAAATGATGGAGAAATATTCCACTAAAGAATATTTTCATCTCTCTGTCAGATACTAAGTTCATGAGTAAGTATGTCACACTCTACTGCTTCTGTTCAAAGGATGGAGCCAATGAGTTTCTGATCTATTAGCTGGTTGTATTTTACTCTGAAGATATTTCTCCTTGTTCAATTTTAACATTCAAATGTGGTTTTAAAATATGCCTGATGGTGAATGTGTCATCAGATTCTTTCTTCAAAAACTGAAGAAATAATCATGAGTTGAGAAAGTTAAAAAAAAAAGTATAATAGTCAAAGTGACTGTATCACATTATCATCAAGACTAGATTAACTTCACTTTTAAAAATTGTGTTCAGTCCTAACCTTAATGCATTTAGGCTCTTCAAAATACTGGATATATCACCTAGATGTGCCTTTCAAACAAGCCGTGCATTCATTCAGTGCCATGAAGAAATAGTTTTATCTTGTCATTTTCAAAGCTCTAGTAAATGAATTTTTGCAGACTTTTATAACCAGCTTTGAAAGTTTTATATTTATTGCCTATTTTTTGTACAACATGCTGAAAAGGTACATACTCAGTTGACCATGAAAGGCTTATTTTAAAGTTTTTCACTGTTTCCTCTGCTGATTCAAGATCAGCATCAAGAAATCGTCTTGTTTATTCTGCCTTTCCTCCCATGAATAAAGTAGCACATGTACACCCTCTTTTTTACCATAGTTAATGAAGATAAAAGTACAGAGAATAATACAATAGATGCCTATGTACCTATTAAGGAGCACTGGTGGCACAGTGGTTATGCACTGAGCTGCTAACCAAAAGGTTGGCAGCTCAAACCTACCAGTTGCTCTATGGGGAAAAAAGTGTGGCAGTCTGCTTTCATAAAGATTACCTTGGAAACCCTAGGGACCAGTTCTGCTCTGTCCTACAGGCTCACTATGAGTCAGAATTGATTCTATGGCACACAACAAAGAACAACAACAATGTATACCTGTCCCCAGAACAAATAAAATTTGATATTATAGTGTGTCAGTTTTTATATAATAATATACAATGATAATAAACCTGAAGCTCTTGTAACACCCCTTCCCGATTCCATTTCCTACTTTTCCAAACTCTCCAGAGATAATCACTATCATCAATATTAAAATTTACATAAATGTTACCATATTATATATCTTTCTATATCTATATCTTTTTTTCTATATCTTTTTTTCTTGCCATTTATCATTGTGATTTTAAAATATACCCATAATATGTATAGATTTAGTCCATTCATTTTAACTACCAGATGATATTCCATCATTGAAATATATCACAGTTAATTTTCCTTTTCTGCAATTAATGGACATTTAGGTTTGTTTTGGATTTTTTGCTATTATAAATAACAGTGCTGCTGTGAATATCTTTGTGTATGTCCAGTTGTGCACATGTGTAAGATTTTTTCTCTTGGACATGTGTAAGGATTTCGTTAAGCAGCCCTGGTGCACAGTGCTTATTAAAAGAAAACACTCAGCTGCTAACTTGATAGTAGGTGGTCAAACCCATGAGCCATACCACGGAAGAAAGATGTGGCAGTCTGCTTCCATAAAGATTACAGGCTTGGAAACCCTATGGGGAAGTTCTGCTATGTCTTTTGGGTCACTCTGAGTCTCACTTGATAAGAGTGGTAAATGGGTTGAAGATTTCTTTGTTGTTGTTATCTGCCATCAAGTCGGTGCTGTCTCATAGTGGCCCTGTGTACAAAAGAATGAAACACTACCTGGTCTTGCACCATCTTCACGATTGTTGCTACGTTTGAGCCCATTGCTGCAGACACTGTGTCAGTCTATCTACCTGAGGGAGGGTTTTCCTCTTTTATGCTTACCTCTACAAAGATAGGTGATGTCCTTCTCCAGAGACCGTCCCTTCTGGTAATATGTCCAGATTATGTGAGATGAAGTTGTCATCCTTGCTTCTAAGACATACTATGGCTGTATTTCTTCCAAGACAGATTTGTTTGTCTTTCTGGCAGTCCATGTTATATTCAGTATTCTTTGCCAATTCCATAATTCAAAAGTATCAATTCTTCTTTGGTTTTCCTTATTCATTTTCTAGCTTTTGCAACATATGAGGCAATTGAAAATACCATGGCTTGAGTCAGGTGCACCTTAGTTCTCAAACTGACATCTTTTGCTTTTTAACACTTTAGAAGAGGTCTTTTCCAGCAGATTTGCCCAATGCAATACATCATTTGATTATTTAACTGTTGCTTCCTTGGGTGCTGATTATGGATCCAAGTAAAATGAAATCCTTGACAACTTCAATCTTTTCTTCATTTATCATGATGTTGCTTATTGGTCCAGTTGTGAGGATTCTTGTTTTCTTTATGTTGAAGTATAATCCATACTGAAGGCTGTAGTCTTCGATCTTCCTCAGTAAGTGCTTTAAGTCATCTTCACTTTCAGCAAGCAAGGTTGTGTCAGAGATTGTTAATGAACCTTCCTCCAATTCTGATGCTGCATTCTTCTTATACTCCAGCTTCTCTGATATTTGTTCAGCATACAGATTGAATAAGTATGTTGAAAGGATTTAACCTTAATGTACATCTTTTCTGGTTTTATTTTATTATTTTCTAATGCATTTTATTGAAATTTATGTACAGTGAAATACACAAAAGTAAAGTGACATGGGTAATGCATTTTCTTCTTTTTTTTTTTTGACGTGTTTCCTCCCCTCCCCTCCCACCCCTGGCAACCAACAAAGAAAGTTTCCCTCCATATATAAGCCTTTCCTGACCCTCCACAACAACAAACCAATAATATATTTGTTCTTCTGTGATTGACTTATGTCACTCAGCATAATGTCCTCCAAGTTCATCCATGTTATACAGTATTTTGAAGACTCTACATTATTCTTTAGTGCTGCATAGCATTTCATTATGTGTATGTACCGTAGTTTGGTCATCCACTCTTCCGCTATAAATCTTGGAGATAAGTCCCTTGCTAGATATATAATTACCAGCAAATATGAATTTGTTGCTGTCATTTTTGTTACGTACTTTTTCATCGTGTTGATTTCTTTGTTCCATATAGTTTTCTATGCTGAGCTTGTTTTGTTTATGAATCGTGTCATCACTTCCTTTGTTGCTATTGTTTTGTTGTTGTTGTTGTTATGTGCCGTCGAGTCAAACCCGACTCATAGCGACCCCTCCTTGGGTTTCTGAGGCAGTATCACTACGGAAGTAGGATTGCCCAACCTTCCTTCCGAGGAGTGGCTGATTGTTTTAGTATTTGCTAAATATTTTTGCTGGTCTTCTTTTTTTCTTTTGATGTAAAGGTTTATCATTTTTCTTTGAAGTTAACCTGTGATTTATAGTTTTCTTTCCAAGTTTAGAACAGTCCGTTCTATATTGTAGTTGTCTTGACTTCCCTACCATCTAGAAGTTCTGTAACAACATAGTTTTTTCCTTCTGTTTTGGTTTGTAGTTGTCCTCGTTTGTCAGTTGATGTCTCTGGTTCCCTGTTTACAATCTTGTAGACTTCTTTACTTTGGATACTTCCATAGCTGGGTTGGTTTCTGGGTTATATCATCATGTGTGTTAACGGTCTGTTGTTGTTGGCTATTGTTGCTTCTCTGTCCAAAGGGCTCCCTTTAGCATCTCTTGTAAGGTTGGTCTGGTTGTAACAAATTCCCTTAATTTCTGCTTATCTGGAAATATCCTAATTTCACCATCATATTTGAGGGACAATTTTGCTGGGTACATAATTCTTGGTTGG